CCCCAAAATCCCAAATACTCCGTCAGCGCCCCGCCCTGCTGCGCTACAGACTTCGTGCGCAAAGCAAAGCCTACAGCCTCCTCTGTGGCTCCCGTCCGCTCCGCTCTGAGTTCCTTGGAGATTGTAGAGAGCATGCGCGAGATGATTAAATTCAAAGCAGCAAAACATGCGGAAATGATCCATGGTTTCCACGGATCATTAAAAATAATTACAATTCATTAATTTTTTGGGATTATTTTCATTAATTTCATTAATTTTTATGGGATTTCGGTGTAACAATCAACATATACCGAACTGAACCAAAAACCGTGACCATGAAACCGTGAACAGAACCGAACTGTGGATTTTGTGAACCGTTCTACCCCTAATAGATCTATAGATACACATTAAATTAATCTGGTATGTATAAATGGGGAATCTATATCTGATACATGAGTGTGTAGTTTGATGTATACACCCTTTGTTTACAAATACATGACCTTTGCATACTGTATCATAGCTCTGTTTTTATTTTATTTTTGCATCCCCATATTGCAAAAGTCCAGATATTTCCTTCACCGCTCTGGTGGACCAGACCCAATATTCTGCTAGGAAAATGTCTGTTTTACACATTATACTTACAAACTAAAACTATAGTTTGCATTTATTTATTCTGCAAATGCGTAAACATGTTTTCATGACACTACAGAACTGACCTATGTACGTTTTTATTTTATACTGCAGCACTTTGTATGGTTCACCCATATCATGCTCTCTTTTTAATGCTTAATTTTCAAACTGCTTATTTTCTCTCCCATAGTAAAGCAATTGATTTTTTTTAAACCCTAAATCATGTTTTCTTTTTACCAGATATGCAGTCATAGCCTTCGGGTGCGCCAGCTGTCCAAAGATCACCTGCGGCAGGGAGGGCTGCGGCACAGAGTTCTGTTACCACTGCAAGCAGCTGTGGCATCCCAACCAGACCTGCGACGCAGCGCGGCTGCAGAGAGCTCAGAGCCTCCGGCTGAGAACGGTGCGCTCGTCCTCCCTCAGTTACAGCCAGGAGAGCGGAGCTGCAGGTGGGCTGTTCAACGTGGTAGAAAATGGCACATTCAGTCAACTGGAATATCAATGAAGAGTTCATTCAAAACAGCAAATGAAGCGAGTTATAGATCATAGATTTATTACACGGGCTGAGGTTTTCAAGCCTTTAGGATTTTCTGTTCACAGTAAAGGAAAACCATTTAAGATTACCGTTTATAATCCAACGTTGACACTTTAACATAAACATGATCTTTTTAAAATGTGTTTTTAAAGGAAAAGTCCGGTCAGTGAGTAATAATCAATTGATCATTATTATTACCTAAAACTAATACATTTGCTGTGATTTAATGAATTCAGCATTAATCATAAAAAAAAATTAAAACAATTTTCGTCACGATCACTGGGTCTGGGAGCCGCCATTTTTGCCCAAATATTGTAACACCTCCCTCCTGAAATTTTTCAGCAGTGACGTCACTGTGCAGTAAGCCTAGCGCCATTCTCCCCGCTTTACAAGCAAAATCAATGGGAACCAGAGCATGTGAAGGGAGCGGAGCGCCATGCATATACCTCTCCCCGCTCAGGAGGATGTTCGCTCATTTGCTCCGCCGCTCAAAGCTGTGCCCAGACGCTCCGCTCAAAATCTGCTCCGCGCTCACCTTATTTTCCTGCCACTCTGGCGAAATCCCCCCACACTCGCTTAAATTTTCAGGAGAAGGCATTTTCTGACATTTTTCCTTCATGGAATAATTTCAGGGCCCTGGGACACACGGCGTTGGATTTAATGATGACGGATACCTGTGTGTTTTCTTATTTAACTGGCTGTTAAATTATCACACTGTTTTCCAACTGTGAACGTAACACCTCGCTTCATTCATGTTTCCCAGCGTTTACTATTTAACAATTAATTGTCCAAAACATCACACTTAAATCAAATAAATGCTTTTTTACAAATTTTATTATCCAACATATTTAATTGAGGTTGTGAGTGCATCAGAGTGAACTGGAGCGGAGCGTAATCCTCGCTCGCAGACACAGCTGCAATCAACAACAATTACTGAAGATTTCCAGAGGACTTCAGCATTGAAATTCACCAGAGCTATAGTGAAACTGACAATGTCCACGTGCATGGCAGCTGGATGTTGGAATACGTCGGGTAAAAGTGAATAAACGTTCTTTCACCTGTCCGATTCCTGATCCTCCACGGACGGGTTCATTGTTGGATTGCCAACTTGAAGAGGGAGGATCAGGAATCGGACAGGTGAAAGAACG